CCACTAGAACACCGCAACTTTAATTAATCACTGGAATAATGAATTGGTTGAGGTACGTATCTCTCATTTTTTGATTTAGATTTCATCACTATCATTCCACAATGTGAACCATTCTCAATGAATACCATTATACTTACAGATTTACTAAATATTAATAAATTGACAAAGCCCATGGCCATGGGCGAAACGTTTTTCTACTAATCCCTTGAAATTCTTTATGAGACCGAATCCAAACCCCAAGAAGAAGCTGCAAATCAAAAACCCTAAAGAATATGAATCTTCCAACTCTTGAGAGACGCAGAACACATACTGATCAGTGTTCCATTTCTAAACTCATAAATTGGCACATTATATGTCCAGATTCACTACAAATGATCAACTTCAATGTCCCACTGAGAACACTTCGCAATATGCAAATCTTCAAAATAAAATTGCATGCTACAAATCATCAATCTCACTGTCCTATATCTCGAAGTCTTAAAAAGATGAATGATTATAATTGTACCAATAAAAATTATTGTACTAATTTATTTTTATTTTGCCTATGAGCTGCTCTAAATTCGGTGGGGTCGTGAGTAAGTGAAGTCTGTTAGCAATCCTGAATTATTTTCAAATACCTTCAAAATAAGATAAGATAACCGAGATAAGATAAATAAGATAAGTTAAGTGAGCGCCATGTATTTTATTCCTGGTTAAAATACAAAAACCAACAATCTATGCACAAAGAACAGTAAAACTAAATTTCAAGCTTAACAATTTAATTTCATGTATGAAATTGCTATGAGTACAAAAATTGATGTTCAGAATTGTACAAAAAATGTATGTTCAAAAATGTACAGGAAATCTATGTTCAAAAATATACAAAAATTTCAAAAATGTCTTAATTATTAAGAAAATCAATTTCAAGTGGAATTGACCAATTTAAAGGAAATTTGGACTTGTTTCAAGTGATGAAGGACACTTACTCCGTCGAATTTCTTCCTGGAAAGTTTCCTTGGTTCTCGGTAGTTTGTTGCACTCCTGTCGGACTTTTGAAGTTCTAGTTGAGGGAGTTCATGGAACTACTTCCAAAACATAGACTTGGTCGACTGGTATGTCCCAGGAGTTCTCTTACAATCTAGTTCATAGATGTCGTAGGAAACCTTCGTCTCCTGCTGTTTAGCTAAAAGCAATAGAGCGAACAGAATCTATCCAGTATTTGAGTTTCTGTAGTGAAACTTCGATGGAGTGTGATAAGTGAGCCTTCAAACTCAATCACAAGTCAAAATCAACCTGGAGATCTTATTTACAATAATTAAGTTGATCAGAGAAACTATCTAAACAAGAAAAGATATGTACAATTTCACAATGTTTGACACTGTTGTTATGTGCAAAAATGAAGCTGTGAGGTGTTCAAGAGGATTTCAGTGAACCTTGTATGAACAACTTTTTTCTCTACGACTTAGTTGGATGGACTGAATTATGTTCTGAATTCTACAAAAAAAAACAATTGTGAAATTTCGTTTCCTTGATAGAAACTATCTCAGAAAATTAATGTCTGTCTCAAACAGAAAGGAGATATCAAAGATTAGGTAAGCCAAGATAAATACAAGATATAAAGATTGATATCTTGCTCAATATCGTTCCTAGAGTCAAGTTCTCAGAAGATAGATAAGATAAAAATTTATTTATGTAAGATAAAATAACTGAGATAACGAATGGATTACTATAGCAATCTTATTGTCAGATTATTTCTATTTGAGAGTGAAGTAATAGAGATAATCAACCTCAAAATACAGTATCATAGAGAAAGATAAACTCATGTGATAATGAAAATCTACAATCCAGCCAACAGGTGGATTGAGCTGTTTCGAAGTGAGCAAGCAAAATCTTACGACAGATGTGACATTCAGTCTAGATACATAAAGGTTTGCTACTCACCCCAAAAACAGGTTCAATCCTAGATCTCAGCTGGAAAGTATTTTCTCTGGGACTTCAAAGTGAGCAATCAGAATAATTCTGGTGGATCTCCTTCAAGCATCAATATCTCAAATTTGGTAAAAACACCTTAGGAATAGATTATACTTGGACTCCTAGAAGGCTCCAATTTAGCTGAAAGAAAATACAAAAATCCGGCAGAAAAACTATTATTTTCATAACCACATTTTCTTGAGTTACATAAACCTCAAGAACAAAAATACACTAATTATTTTCTCAATTCATGAGTAAAAGATAAATATGTTCAATATTAATCCTCCTAGTTATAGGATTATATTGAAGATAAAAAGATACAAATAAATTTCAACACGAGAGCAAATGGCGTCTCATCCAATCAAAATTTGATATATCTCTAACATCAAATAATTTGCAAAAGATACCTCTTAACTTGTAAATAGAAATAATCCAATTTTCATTTCAAACAGTAGAAGCTACAATTTAAATTGACATGTTGAAAAATCAAATCATCAAAACTTCGATAAAGAATCCATTCATTACCTGTATCAGGTTTTTTATCAGAAAAACCTTGTCAAGCGTCTTCACTCTAGGACAGATATTTCAGGAAGAGCGCGAGCTCGTCTTTTCTTTTTCCGTGCTCCTATTATTTTATTCAAAACGCAGACTCATGTGGTGTGGTGTTGCCAAACTTTCAACTTTTTACGAGAAACTATTACATCTACATTGTTAATATTTTAATTAAACCTTATCAATCAAATATAGACCTATCCTTGGATTAGTATCCAATCTGAAAGTTTGATTGATAGTTTCAATTAGTGTTACCTGTTCCATTAAGCCATGAAATGATTGAAATTAGCCAGTCACAAGTGCAATGGTTCGAAACTGACTAGAAGCGACAACCATGTGACAAGCAGAACGATCACGTGGTATACTTACCTGTCCAATTCCCACTATTCAACCAATCAACAAACACCAACGACGAACAGTATACGAGGTAAACGAAAAGTATCATCGAAAAGGAACAAAAATCTACAAGTGTGAGATTTTTCGTTACATAATCTAGAAATCTTCGGTGGATCACTGGATTCGTTCGAAAATACTCTGAAACGATTATTGTAGGTGTGCACAGTACTCACATCGTTTGTTGAACATGATTCTGTAATTACCTATACAGGGTGTCTTGTAAAGACCACGTCAAACCTAGGGAGAATGTACATCAAAGGATAACCCACCTGCTGTAACAAAATTTCCACTATAGAAGTCTGACTGTTTTCAAGATATTTTCCCTTGAATATTGAATTTTCGCCCCTTTCAATAGTTTTGTCTGTACGGTTGGTACAATTTCACACCTTTTTGGTTTATTTTTTCAGTAAATATTGCTGAAGCATGATATAACCTATACATTGAAAACATTCGTCGAAGATTTCAAAGAGGGACTGTGAGAAATATTTCAATTGGAAACTTTGGTAGTGAATATTTTCAAAAAAAAAATCTTGAAATCAATAAGATTTTTATAATGGGAATTTTGTCATATGCAGTTGGGTTATCCTTTTATCCACATTTCTCATATATTTCACGTGGTCCTTACGGGACATGCTGTATATACAGGATGTCCCGACATTCAACGAGACGAGACTTTCATAAACTCTCGTCTCGTCTCGCCGATGAAATATGAAGTCTTGTCTCGAGTCTATTCTCGCAGCCCCGAGTCTCGTCATCTCTCGCGTCTCGTACGAAAATCTCGCAAATGTATCGCAATTTTGTCATGCATAATCTTGTTTCAGTCTAGTACGGGATATTTACCTTTACCTATTTCTCAGGTATAAGGGAATTAGGGAGAGAAAATTACAACAAAAATAACATTATTTATTGAAAAGTATTCGAGAGTTATAAAAATAAAATGAAAAGTAACACGTATATTCTTAACAAATTCACAAAACTAAAACTTTTTTCCAACATTATTTTACTTATTTGAGAAAAAGGTATCTAAGAAAATATTTATTTGTTTCACTAGGCAGAAAAGTAGTCAATCTACATTTGCTGCCGTGTGAAACATAGAATTTTTTTCTCCAAATGATATTAATCCAATTTTGTGTAATGTTTTTATTGAAAACTCCATCATTTCGTGTTCACCCAATGTAAGTGTCAATTTTTATAACTAATTTCATTAGAATTTCTTGGAACGATGCATAGCAACAAAGTTTTTCTGCCTAGGCAGTAAAAGTACACCTTTTCTGCTTGTTAAGCCGCAGGAAAAAGGCACTATCCCTGCCGCTTGGAGAAAAACACCTTCATCAGTCAGATCAGCCTTCACGATCGAAAATGTTTTTGTTTTTCACCCAGTCTTTAAGACACAACAAACATCGTGCAGATTCATTAGATGTATTCTTATAGAATTATTTCTAAATATGTTTTATTATGAATGAAATTCTCAAGTCTGCAGTCGGCACGCAGAAATATTTACCTACGAGACTCTCACACGAGACACGAGAAGTCTTGCACGAGACTCGAGACGAGACCAATAAAAGTCTCGTCTCGTCTTGTCCGTCTTGTCCGTCTTGTCCAATCTGGTCGATTCGCCTATCGGTGTACAGCTAAAACGATTTACGAAATTTCATATTCCATCTCCATTTGTTTTTCTTTATCGCTTGGAGCGCACGAAAGGGAATCCCTATGATGTTCAAAGAACATCGTGCGTTCTTAGGGAGTATGGGGATAGGAGGTAGGTATTGGAATTGTTTTTGAACTTGATTGTTCTCAAAATTGTTCTAAAATTGTTCTCATCCATCATTCGGTTGCCCCCTTACGAGCAACCCACAGAGGTCTTCAAGAGACTTGTGGGAGCAAGGAATGACGGGGATCTTACCTTTTAACGTGAGATCCCAAACACTTTCTTAGGCTATCAGAAAAATGTCTGCGGTCGTGGTGGGAATCGAACCCACTACCGGTAATCCAACGTGGATAGAACATTGACGCTTCAATCACGAGACTACGCTGACCATGATGTTCAATAAAATAGCGGATACTAACTTCGACAATATTTATTTCAATAATGATGAATGCAGTTATATTCCAGTATTTTGATTTATCCAGTTCCTGAAGGCGGAAACTTTAGCATATATACCTGGATATCTAGGATCAGCACATTCATATCCCCATGAGACGATACCAACAACTTGACCGTTTATCACAGCTGGACCACCAGAATCTCCCTGACAGGAATCTTTGCCACCAACTCCAAGCAAGCCAGCACAAAACATGTTGTTGGTGATTGTATCATTTACTATAGCTTTTTGGCATACATCTCTGTTGACGGTAGGTATGGTGACTTGTCGGAGATCATATTCAATATAATATCCATTGTCTGTGGCACCCCATCCTGTGACAGTGAGTTGGGCATCATCGGGGACCACTTGTCCGGCTTCAGGAAGTCTGGCAGGTTTGACTGATTCGTTGAGAGTAGCCGGTGGAGCCAGTTCAAGTAGAGCGATATCGTAGTCCGCAGTGCTACTAACGAATTGGGGATGTGTGATGTATCTCTTCACACTATGGAGTTTGCCGCCTCTAGCCCATTTTGATGATCCGACATTAATCTGGAGATTTTCGGTATCGCTGTGTCCATTGATGATGCAGTGTGCAGCTGTGACCACCCATTTTTCGGAGATCAGAAATCCACCGCAGAAATGACTTTGCCTATGCTGGAGTGATATTTGCCAGGGGAAGTCGATGATTTCGGCGACATCGCCACCAACAATTTCCAAATTTGGGTTTGTTTCAGTTGGTGCAGCTGGAAAATTGAAATAATATCGTTTTCCGATGAACATGAATGTGACTTCAACAATATTATTCACCACCATACATATTTTCTATTTATCCCTAACGTATCGAGAGAATGACTTTCCACCCCATGAAATCAATCTCATGAATGGTAAGTTGAGATATTCATATGTATCTTTGTGAGAAGTGAAGAATGATTGAGAATACATCAAGAAATTCAGCTCGAATGATTCTACGGCCATAGCATGACATACGATGTATATACAATTTTGGTAGCCACCTACTGCTCCTGATTTGAAATCACCTCAGTACCAGCATTTGTTATGGGAATGATTTTCTACTCTCCATCATTCTATTGACGAGATGAATTTCACCAGGAAAATATAACAGAATAGTCATAGAGTGACAAATTTTGAAACGCCATAACAAAGTGGTATGTTCATGCCATCTTCGACCTGAGGAATTATCTTCCCTCAATAGTGGTCACAATAATTAATTTCACTCAATAGCTATCTCACTTAGTATTGTAACCACAGAAACGTTTAAAAGGGTCAAAGTGGAGTATTTTGTATGAGCATTCAGAATCTATTACTGAATAATACAAAAAAGTATCGCAAATAGGGCTTCGCGAGTCCAAGACTTAATAAATCTTCCCAAGACTAAGACCAAGACTCGACTTTCGAGACCAAGACCTAGGCTTCCTCCCAAGAGTCTTTGTCTTAATATTGAAAGAAAAATAATGAACTTGAATCTACTTAATTTTATGGAAAATCTAATGGAAAATGTAATGGCATTTTACTTCAGTTATTTATTTGTTTTTAATGTTTGTTTGTCCAAAATCCTTTTCTTTCCTGGCTATATGCCAAGACGAACATTGAATTACATCTATTGAACATACACGATGAGAATTTGAAAACAAAATATTCTGAAGTAGAGTATTTGCATTCTCCTTCATGTGAAGATATGTACATAATATAATAGTTTTCTGTCGAATAGACCGCGAAAGAATTGATATTTTCATCACATAGAGAATGCGAATTCTCAATGTATTTCTTCATAGATATATCCATTTTTTTATGTTCATAATTATATCTGAGAATATTCCTTTTCAATACTCTCACCCAATCAAGGGGTTCAAACTGGAACGATGGAAACTTTTTATAGACCTCAATCGCAGATTCGTGATTAGGTTTTCTTAATTCAGAATTTCTTTCCACGTCCTGTATGATGAATGTCAATTTATCATACATCCAAAAATGAACATTAGTGTTAATATCAGATGCTAAGGATGAAATCAAATCAATGATTTTATCGTTCTTGAAGTTACCAACAAGTAAAATCAACTTCTGATGTAAAAATATATGTTGTGCATCATTTTAAACTGAACTCATCGGAAATATGTTTTTTCAAGTCTCATTTGAGACTATGTAATATCAGTTGTTATGGTCGAAAACTAATAGATGTGTTTGATGTTTGATGTTCTTGAAATTTCAGTAATGAACATTGATAACTCACAAGTAAAATCAACTCCTATCGTAAAAATAAATCGCGTTATATTTACTCAGGTAGAACATTATATTGGCAAGAACTTTGTTTCACATTAACCCAATATTCGAATATTGAATATGGAATTACTAGATTGTCCCAATATTAAACCAATTTTTCATTCCAATATTCAATCAACAATCCAGTGCCAATGTTGTGATAACATTAAAATTATGTGACCGGCCGATATCAATTTGCCAATATTTATTTGATATTGGGGAAATATCAACGATTACAATATGTCAATTTTCTTGATGGGCTGATATTGTATTTCCAATATCGAATCAATCTCGGAAAAAAATATTGCATCAATATCCGATTTATGATGGTTAGTGAATATTGCAATTCATTGTCCAGCAATATTGCACTCATATTGGCTCTTTGATATCATTTCGATATTCAATAATCAATCCTGTGCCAATGTTGTGATAATACCAGCATTTTGTGACCAGCCGATATGTATTTGCCAATATCTATTTGATATTGGCGAAATTTTAACGATTACATCATGTCAATTTCCATATTATACGCTGATATTGTAATTCCAATATCGAATTAATCTCGGAAAAAGATATTGTATCAATATCCGATTCATAATGGTTTGTGGAGATTGCATTTCATTGTCCAGCAGTATTGCACTGCTTTTGACATTTTAATATCAAGTCGATATAATGAAAATGATATCACATCTATGTAATTTTTTAATTGATTTCAATATCGAATCAATATTATTAAAATAATATTTCTTGTATATTATGTTTGGGATGATTTTTAAATATTGATATTGATTATTATTTTCATATTTGTATTTTTTATCAAGCCAATATTAGTTCATCAAGATGGGACCCATTTCTGATAGATATAACTAATGAAATATTAGTGTTCTACCTGTGTAACTTAACTCATCGGAGATATATTTTCTTCATGTTTCATTCGAAACTAAGTAGACATGTTAATATCAGATGCTATGGATGGAATCGAATTGATGATTTCATTTTTTTTTTGGAATTTCATTGAAAACCCCTAGTTACCAACAAGTAAAATCAACTTCTGATGTGGAGATATTGCGTCATATATTACTGAGCTCATCAGAAATGAAACTATATAGACATTGGATCTCAGATAACAGTTATTGTGTCTTAAATCATTTGACGATCATTTGATAACTACTCAGAAGAGGTCGAAAGGAGTGCATCCTCTCATCATATTAAAAGCAACTCCAATGACATTTCTCTACCTAATTTATCACGCAGCAAAATTGATTCCCGATAATTTTGTTCTCGGCTTGATTGATGTTTTTGTCAGTGCCGGATCAGCCACGTAGCAAGAGTAGCAAATGCTACGGGCCCCGCGAATTGGGGGCCCCACGCTCTAACGCCTGTCCGGCTTAACTGTAGAAATAAAATCAGATAAAATATCTTGCATGCCTTGAACGCGAGTCGCGAAGCGATTATGCTATGCTTTAGAACTGACCGAGAAGAATACCAGCAACAGACATCAAGACGAATTTAGCGGCTGTAGCCACACTCGACGACTTCGTTGAAAATCAAACACCTAGACAACGTATTGGAGTACTTGTCTGCCTCAACTAAACGTAATAAAGCATATCACAAAATAACTAGTGTTTTCGGAGTATTTTGGCAGTTTGGGAAAATCCTCAATAATGGTCAGTGCTTACAAAGATAATTTGGAAACCAGCCTGGGCGACGACTTGTGCAGTTCGCTGAGCTGCTGAAAACGAATGTGGCTATACCGGGTGGCTACGGAAGTATTGCCTACGGAATATCTCAGTTATTGTAAGAAGTAGGTTTGTGAAATTTAGAGCGTCGATATAATGACATAAGAGCTAGAACTTGAGCATATTGACATGTCGAAGGTAACTTCCGGTCTAACCGGAAGTAATATCAACTTTCTTATTTTAAATGGAAACCTTTTTTTTTTCTTTTCGCTTCATTCAGCATTCAATTCCCTTTCTAATGACATATCACAAGTTGGTATCTATCCAGAAACTAGATCAGAAAAAAATTATCATTGAAATTCACCGAGTAGGCCGTGGAAGCGAAATGAAAGCCAAAAATTGAAAAGTTTGCTATGGAAACCATACGTCACTTGATAACAGTTGCTACTACTGTGATATTTTATTTTCATTCGTCGGCGTTATAAAAAGCCGCCAAAAAAAATATTGGAAAAATTGGGAAAAAAACAATACTCTGTAGGTCCATCACTTATATAGGAACATACAACTTTTTCTTGCCTGTACTATTCAGCATAACCATTCCTTTCTAATGATATAATAGAAAGTCATTTTTTGAAATGAAATACCAAAAAATCCAATCATTATTCTACTCGGTGAATTTCAATAATAATTTTTTTCTGATCTAATTCCCGGTTGGATACCAACTTGTGATATGTCATTAGAAAGGGAATTGAATGTTGAATAAAGCGGAATGAAAAAAAAAAGGGTTTCCATTTAAAATTAGAAAGTTGATGTTACTTCCGGTTAGATCGGAAGTTGACTTCGACATGTCGATATGCTCAAATTCTAGCTCTTATGTCATTATATCGACGCTTCAAATTTCACAAACCTACTTCATACAATAACTGAGATATTCCGTAGGCAATACTTCCGTAGCCACCCGGTATATACTGTCATTGACAACAACAAACCTCTGGAGGAGCTTCTCGAGCTGCAATCTTATAAACTTTCATTAAATAGTTCCTCAGAATCGTGTTTCCCAAACATAGAAATTGCCATGCGAATTTGCTCTTGTTTCTCATGATCACTAATTGTAGTGGCGAACTTTCTTTCTTGACATTAAAACGAATTTAGAATGAAATGAGGAACAGGATGAGTCAAAAACGTCTTAATCATTTCACTTTGATAGATATGATTTGCTCAAAGAAGTGGATATTGAAAGTGTCATATCTAAATTTGCTCATATTAAATTCAGAGAAGTCCATTTGTAATAGTTTCGTTTTATTTTATTTCATAGCCTTAACCTGAGAACCTAACGCTAACCAATAAGGGTCCCTTGATATAATTTGCTACAGGCCCCGAACTGGCTTGATCCGGCACTGGTTTTCGTTGAACAAAAATATTAGTGGTGGCCTTGGAAAGAATTATTAGTGATGATTCTGCTACTAAGGAGAGTACCTATAGGTGATAATATCATGAAACTCACCGAATGTGACACCAAGTATAGCTAGGGCAAGAGTGAATCTGATCATTTTTCAAAGTTCTGATGAGTTGGAACTAAATGAATGAAATGAAACTCGTGCGAATGCTTATAAATATGTTCGATATCTTGGAATGTGGAGAGTGGAGCATTATCACATTATATTCAAATTAATACGAGTGCATGAATACGGGATATTTCAAGTAGTCTGATCTGAAAAGAATTCAGATGTATCAAAATTGTCGAGAAGATAAAATACTTTCAATTCTTCTGATTAATATCGCAGAGATGATGATCAAGTCATTGTTTCATTTGGCTTATCATGAAGGGTATATACCTTCTCTATATACCGGATGTCCCAGATTTTTTCATACTGCCAATATCTCAGTTATGCTGCTTCAAGAAATTTAAGAAAACTACACTATTGTTGAACCTGAACCCGAATGACTTCTGAGCCATTGTGTGTCAAAGTCAACTTCTGTCGAAGTTGATATGGACATTCGTGAGCTTATCGATGTAAAATATTCACTAAGAATCATCCAAGCAGCAGAATCAATTTCCGATATAATTTTTCTCGGTGTCACTCATGTTTTTGTTGATAGAATCCCTAACAACACGAGTACGTCCCAGGGACGTCCCAGGGACGTCCTTCATTTTCTACGAGGACGTCCCTGGGATATCCTGTGTCAGGACATGGTACATACTAGAGACGTTCCAGGGACATCCGCTTTCCACAAGAAGAGGCATCCTAGGAATGTCCTTCTGGTACGTCCCTGGGATGTGCCAAGTACGAAGAAAGGATATCCCTAGGACGTCCCAAGGATATCCCAGGGACATCACTTTGACAAAAGAAAAAAAATGTAGGTAGAGTACTGATTGAACCCGGGACCTTTGGCTTATCAGGCACGCATCTCACTCCATTGGCTATTGAGCCTCCTGAAGATTTATGTACTAAACAGATTTACAAACAGGACTCAACTACAGAAACCTGAATAAATACAACTTTGTTAAAATTTGGGTATAATTATTATATCATTCTCGGGTGTATAAAAATGAGGGGCATTATGCATATACGATTTCTGTTTGCGAAAAATGGTAATTCCTTAAGAAGTTCTGAAACTTTATTCTTCATTTTCATTTCGATTATTTTCCGGAAGAAAAACAAACATTTTCAACAAAATGCAACTTAATACTTTGATGAAATTCAATGACTCTGATGTGAATGGATATCAGATATTCCAGGGACACGAATAGGATAACCTATGGATGTACCGGGCGGGATTTCCACTGGACAACCACTCCGCGACATCCCCTGGATGCCCCAATCATGTCCTTGTACCGCAGGACAAAAAAGGGACGTACCTAGGACATCCCTGTGTTGTTAGGGATATTATCCCGAGTCGTAGACGGGGGAAACTTTCTATCAACAAAAACATGACCCACTGCTCAGAAAATTATGCCAGTTTCATCACATTCTTGTAACCTTGAATACATGTTACGTTATGAAATTTTTCCACAAAGAAGTATCAAGTTCCTCCCAGTTGAATGTCCTTCAACATAACAAAAGCCTTTTTACGTCACAGAAAGTTCATTATATCAAGGTAACCATCATGTTCCAATTATCAATACATTAACGTAACTATTAAATCTACTGAACGAAGGCATTTTAAAGACCTCGGTCATGTAGCTCCCGGCCGGCCAGCTCCAAGCCTCACTTTTCCACCACCGGTCAATTTTCGTTTTCGCATTGCTCTTTTATTCGATCGTTTCGTACGCCGATCATTACTACTCCCTTTACTAATCGATAACATCCACGGATACGATGAATATTGATAATCTTCGTGTATTTTTTCAAGTGGAAAAGAATGTAGATACACTGTGCTCACTGTTATTCTGATGGGCCAGCGCGAACGATAAAAGTGTTCGATTTCACGTTATTGATTGAATTTCCAGATTTTTCATCCACCATAAGAAATTATCAGACGAGAAAAACAATCAATAGGAATCTCAGAGGGGTACATGATCAATACAAAGGATGTTTTTCGTTTCATCATGTCAACCTCAAAAGGCTAACTCCAAGGGTAGAATTGTTCGATGTTAAGCAATTCGATATGAGTTCCTGAATTTTTTTCTACCATAAGAAATGACCGGCCAAAAAAAACCGATTGATGGAAATCGTAGAGGGATATATGTTCAATATAGAGGATTTTTTATTTGTTTCATTAGGTCAACCCCAAAGGGCCAGCTCCAAGGGTAGAATTGTTCGATCTGAAGCTATTCGAAATGAATTCCTGAATTTTCTTCTATCATGAGAAATGATAGGCGAAGAAAATCGATTGATAGAAATCGAAAAGGAGTCAATCAGAACAAAATGTATTCAGATTGCATACTCACGTTGTATCATCAGATATAATGAAGATGTACCAAATTCTCTCATAGATTAAGAATATAGGCCATTACAATCAATTCTTTGGAGATCAGACGTTGATCAAGATATCAGCTGTTATCAATAACTGAATACTGTAACCTATGGCCCCACATCTGCTCCATACCTTGCAGTTAAATGTATCAAAACATTAGGTACATCAATTGATGATGAGCTAGTTTCCAAAGCCATTATGAATGACTTTTACGTAGATGATCTTTTAACAGGTCACAACAATCATGAAATTGTATCTAATATTTGTAAATTACTGTATGATCATTTAGCATCGGCAGGATTCATTCTGAGAAAATGGATAACTAATCATCCACAAACATTATCACAGCTCAATATTATATATATCCCTTAGGCATTCTATCCTTCGGTGAACATGAATGTTCAAAAACCTTAGGAATGAAATGGTATAGCAATACCGACCAATTACGATATTCCATTGCAATCTCGGAAAAAACGGAAGCAGGAACAATTCCGAAAAGGCAAATCCTTTCCGAGATTGCGCAAGTCTATGACCCATTAGGACTCCTAAGTCCCACTATTATTTTGGCCAGAATTATAATTCAAAAATTGTGGTCTCTCAAACTAAATTGGAATGAATCTATTCCTGAGGACTATTGTCATCAGTGGAATAACTTCAGAAACACACTATCTGATTTGAATCCACTAAAAATCCCTAGAAATGTGTTGGGAGCAGACTATACAGCTATTGATATTCACTGTTTTTGTGACGCAAGTCAACATGCATATTCATATTGAGAAGGAACATTCTCAGATATATCAATGAACACAAAAAAATGGATACATATATAAAGGAATACATTGAGAATTCGCATTCTCCATGTGATGAGAATATCAAATCTTTCACGGTACCTATATTCAACAGAAAACAATTACTTTCCTGGCTATATGCCACGACGAATATTGAATTACATCTATTGAACACGCATGATGAGAATTTGAAAACGAAATCTTCTGGAGTAGAGAATTTGCATTCTCCTTCATATAAAGATATACATATAAAATAATTCTGAATATTCAACAGAAAACAACTACTGTCCTGGCTATTTGTCACGTCGAACATTAAATTATATCTGTTGAACATCCAAAAAGAGAGCATGGAAGATCAAAATCCTCTGAAATTGAGAATTAACATCATCTCTCAAATCGAATAGAATAATATGATGTATTGTGATATAAAAAAAATATATATATAACTTACCGATATGTTCAGTATTTAAATGAAAATTGAAATGTTTAGGAGAAGTACACTTGCATGAACTCTGATCTTGATGAGCTTGGAACTTCCAAAAAAATCATTCGTATCAGTGATATGGGAATTATATCTCTCACAAACAGGTTACATGAATTCATTTCGGATATCATATCCTCATCAGTAACCAGAAGTCCAGTTTTTCTTTCAGCCATTCTTCATGATATTCACAATCTCCATCTCCCTATAATATATATATTTCTCAATGTATTTCTTTATATATATATCCATTTTTTGTGTTTATAAATATATCTGAGAATGTTCCTTTTCAATACTTTCACCCAATCAAGTGGTTCAAAATTGAACGATGGAAATTCAACAGATCACCTGTCAATCAAATTGGTTCTATGTTAAATCAGAAGATAACCTGGCAGATGTGGCCTCTAGGGGAAAATTACCTGATCAATTGATAAACTCTGAAATTTGGTGGCTCAGTCCAGAATTTCTTTCTGATTCAACTGGAACTGATTGGTTCGAATTACGTTATTCTGAACTCAACAAGAATCCTATCATCACTCTACCAGAAATAAAAAAACAAAAATCTCAATTGTATAAGGTCATGGAACACTAATCACCATTAATTTCTTTTGAAATATTCAAACAATATTCCAACCTTCACAAAGAGTATTCACATAAATATCTGTCGATTCATTGAAAATCTTCGATTAAACAATAAAAACACTGGGCTATTGACGGTTGTTGAAATAGAATCTGCTTTTATGAAATTATTGAAAATTTCACAATCAGAGTCATCTAAAAATGAAAAAGAGATCCTTTCAAAAAATGGCCAATTGAACAGACAAAATAAGCTATTTCCTCTCTCTTCATTTCGTAACCACCATGGTTTACTATGTGTTGGAGGTAGACTAAAAAATACTTATTTAGCTGATCATGTAAAACATCCGATTTCGTTGTCATCTAAACATCCTCTCACTATTTTGATATCCACTCATATGCATAAAAGTCTTCTACATCCTGGACCCCAGCTATTATTATCTAACGTCAGACAAAGATGTTGGGCTATTGGTGGTAGAGTCTTATCAAAGAAAATCGTTAATGAATGCATTACCTGTTTCAAACACAAACCCATTTCGTTTGAAGCAACAATTGAAAGTTCACCAAATGAATGTATCATGCCAACATTTCCTTTTCAAAACGTTGAAATCGACTAAGCAGGCCCGTTTTTGATTAAGGATAAACAAGGACGTGGTTGTGAATTGTAAATTAATTGAAGGTTATGTATGTGTTTTCGTGTGTTTCACAACAAAAGCAATCCATCTTGAGCTACTATCTGATATGCCAACAGAGTGTTTTTTCGCATGTTTTTACAGATTCATATCTA